CAATCACGGCTCTAGGCAAGTCACGGAACCTTTCTGAGTCCCTACTTCCTTATTTGATAAAGTGACTTAAGAATAAATCCTACCCTGCCAGGCTGAATGAGCTAATGTACGTGAGTGCATGCGACGTTGTGGAGGATGTGGGGTCCTCGGTAAATTTAAGTGGGATTCGGGGACAGACCCCGGTTTTGTGGGCCTGCCATTGAAACAATATGCATGTGGGTGGAGTGGCTGTAAGAAAAAGAAATACAAGACTATCTCCCTTTAGTGCATTTGACAAACACTGCATGATCATACGTATTGCAGGATACCCTCTCAGCGCCTTGGAAGGGGTGGGGTTGGGGATGCACGTTGATCTGGGTTTCACAGCAGATCAGCTTCTAGGGCAGTGATGGCGAACCTATGACATGCGTGTCAGGTGACACGCGAACTCATTTTTTTGGTTGATTTTTCTTTGTTAAATGGCATTGAAATATATAAAATAAATATCAAAAATATAAGTCTTCGTTTTACTATGGTTGCAAATATCAAAACATTTCTATATGTGACACGGCACCAGAGTTAAGTTAGGGTTTTTCAAAATGCTGACACGCCGAGCTCAAAAGGTTCGCTGTCACTGCTCTAGGGCGTCCGAATCCAGACGTCCGGGTCCCTCCGCCCTCGCAGGTAGAAGTACTGCAGGCTTCACGCGGAAAGAGCGTATCCTTGCCACACTGGAAAGTAATGATGGTGTTGGAGTCAACGTGGGAGATGTCAGAGGTGCTATTATGACGATGAAGATCACCAATGACTCCGTGGCTGGCTGTGGTGGGCTGGGAACACTGTGTTTAGCGGGTTGTGGTTGAGCACGCAGAGGCTCCTGTGCTCATGAGGCTGTGGGAGGGGAGGCCTGCGTTCCTTGAGGAGCTGCTGCTCCCCCAGGCGGTTCTTGCTCATGGTTCTTGCTCACGCGGAGGCTCTCCCTGACCGACGTTTCACTGGCCCAGGGGCTCTCCTGGGTCTGTGTTGCCGGGCTGCCCGCGGGGGTTGTGGTTTCTCTGGATCGTCTGTGCTGTTTGCAGGGGGTTGCCCGCAGCAGATCTCTCCCCAGCTGCTTGGGAAGTAGAGGCACTCGCTGCAGGGTGTGCTTGCCACCAGCTCCTTGTTGGGGTCGTCGTGTGGCCATGTGGTTGGTTTACGGGATACACTTGTGGGGAGATGCAGAGCTTGTCCAGGCTGAAATGGGAGAGGCCCGGGCACCTGGATCCCAGGGGTCACATACTGGAGCTTTGTGGGCCACACTTGCCTGAGGACTGGAGGGCCATCTTGCTGAGCCTGTGGCTAGAGCCAACAGCACCAGGTCATCACACACACACACACACACACACACACACACACACTTACTTTAAAAAAACAACAACCAGGATACTGATCAATAAAGCAAAGTGTTCAAAGAATATCCCTTGATCCTTCAAGAGAGATATATAAATGAATACATAATGAGCTAAACATCCATAGGATGTTTAGGAAAATGCAGATCCCAGGATGTCAAATCGAGACCCAGAATCAGAATACCTGGGATGGGGCCCCCAAATCTGCACGTTTGAAACAAAGTTCGGGCTGTACTGAGGCTTACTGACATTGAAAACCACAATTCACGATGTGTGCTTTTGTTTGAATTCTCACCTGAGGATATCTTTGTTTATATTTTTTAAGAGAGAGGGCAAGGGAGAGAAAGAAAAACATCGATGTGAGAGACACACATTGATTGGTTACCTCCTGCACACACCCCGACCTGGGATTGAATCCACAACCGAGGTATATGCCCTGACCAAAAATCAAACCCGTAACCTTTCATATCTGGGAAGATGTTCCAACCAACTGAGCACACCAGCCAGGGCTATAGATGCTTTTTTAAAAAAGTTGTAAAATATACATAACGTAAAATTTGCCATCCTAATCATTTTTTAAAAATCTTTTTTTCACAGTTTATTTATTTATTTATTTATTTTTAAGTGATTTCAGCAAGGAAGGGAGAGATAGAAACATCAATGATGAGAATTATTGATCCACATCAGGATTGAGCCCATAACTCAGACATGTGCCCCTGGCTGGAATCAAACTCAGGACCCTTTAATCCACAGGCCAACGCTCTATCCACTGAGCCAAACCAGCTAGGACCATCCTAATCATTTTTAACTGTACAGATCAGTGGCATTAAGTACATTCATGTTGTGCAGCTAATCTCTGGAACTTTTTCATCTTGAGAAACTGAAACTCTATACTCTTGAAATAACTCTCATTTTCTCCTCCTCCAGCCCCAGGCAACTACCATTCTACTTTCTATTTCTATGAATTTGACTACTGAATGCCTTATATAAGTATTTAAACTTTTGTGACTGGTTTATTTCACTTAACATAACGTCTTAAGGGTCATTCATATCGTAGCATGTGTCACAGTTTCCTCTTTTTAACACTGAATAAATACTGCCTTGTATGGATATACCACATTTTGTTGGTTTTTGATACCAGCCACCCTTATTGACATGAGGCGATACCTCATTGTGCCCTTGGCTTGCATTTCCCTACTGATTAGTGATGTCGGACATCCTTCCATTCTCCCACTGAGCTAATAGCATAAGGAGGCCGCATGGGGGTCTGCAGGAAGTGGCATGGATTTGAGAGGCATTGAGTTACAAGAGAGGATGGACGAAAGACTTAGCAATTTTTCCCTTTGGGCCATTGGGTACTCCTTCCCGTAGGCCTGTGTCATTGCTTAGACCTGAGAAAGAGCAGAGACATGCAGCCTGCTTTGTTTGTTGGTTGGTTTAAACATTTCATAGGCTTGTTTCAGAGCCCATCTGCTAGTCAGAGTTCCCCCAACCGTCCGCGTTTGCTCACACTGCTGCTGATGCCACGCCTTCTGCATGTGGTCCCTTCTCTTCTCCACATGCACGCTCCCTCTTCCAGGGAGGCCGCTGGAGTGGCAGCTCTTCCCTCGCATCTCCATGGCTCACCAGGCAGAAGCCAGTGTCCCCTCATTGGGTCCCTTTCTATTTGTCACTGTATCACCCGGCACAGTGGCACTGTCCAGTCTCGGCCCCAGACCAGTTAAATCAGAACCCGGGGGTTGGGATGGGCAGCTGCAGTCCTTACAGACTCCATGGTGAGTCTGCTGCGCAGGCAGCCGGGAGCCCCGCCGGCCACTGCCAGGCCCTGGTCCGGCAGCGTGAACTGAAACTGCAGAGCGTGCTGCCCAGCCTCCCTTCCGCTGCAGGGGGCCATCCTGCAGTTGTACTGTTTGTCCTGCATGGGCTGCTGGTGCCCTCCTTTACCCAATGAAACATGGGTGATCTTGAGGGGATGGTAGGAACTTCATTCATCCACCTTCCTTCTATCCATCCATCCATCCATCCATCCATCCATCCATAACCATTTATTGAGTACCCACTGTGAGTCAGGCCCTGGTGAACATAGCACCTTGGAACAACTTACATTCTTCTAGGGAAAGTGTGTTATAACCTGAGTGATGAGGGTGTGGTTCGCGTGTGCACATGTATGTGCACCGACCGTGTGCTTGGACTGCACCACGATGCTCAGGGACAGCACCTGTCTGCCTGGGCCGTTGGGGAAGTTTGGGGCCGAGTGGAAGGTGTGTCCCAGGTTTGGACTGGTGCGGGGGAGTGTCGTGGGAAGGAATGAGGGGACCTGTGCTGCAGAGGGGGCGACGGGCTCTCGTTCTGAGGCTGTTCCTCGTGGGTGATGACCTTCAGGGCCTCTCCATTCTTTTGTTCGCTCATTCAGTCAGTCATCAAACACCTCATGAACACCTGCCGTCTTCAGAGTTGTTATTGGCCAGCTGTGGGCCCGCTGTTTGAGCATCCCCGGGGCTTGTTAGGAATGCAGCTTCTCGGGCTCCCTCCTAACCATGTTGAATCAGTACCTGGGAGTGGGTTCAAGACTCTGTTTTAACAAACCCTCCAGGTGACTCTTAGGCTCGCATCTGGGACTCCTGCTCCGGAGTGCTGGGTTTCCGGTCCTCATCAGTGCACACCCGCCCTCCATGCTCAGCACCGAGGCGCCCCCTCCGTGTTTGTGGGCTGACTGCTTTGCACCAGGTCCTGATAGGTTCTGGGAGTGTGGGAGCCCCTCCAGGGGGAGGACGACAAGGCCAGTGAGTCTGAGGTACTCATGGGACAGGCAGTTGGTGACAGACACTAGATACACACCTAGCTTCGGGAGGTATTTTGGAAGTCATCAGCATACGGGTAGAATGATTAAATGCCCAAATGTATGCAAGGAAACGCTCAACATCCATGTGAAAGTCAGAGAGGGGGTGGTGGTGGTGATGGGCGGGCCTGGCGCCCTGACGCCATGTGTCCTGATGATTCTGGCCTGGGGGCCCATGTGCCTGGTGTTGAGATGAATTGGCATTATTTTTCTGCACAGACACTGTAGCCTTCAGGGCAAGGGGTGACTCGTGTCACTGAACATCAAGAGAGCATTGCTCTGGGGCGTCCTGGGATAGTTTCATGACCTGAAGGGAGTGGGCAGGACAACCCTCACTCGCAGTCATGTGGGCAAGTCAGTGCAGGGCTCAAGTGTTCTGGAGAATGCCACTCCCCCACCAGCACCAGGAGCCCCGGTTTTGCAGAGTCAGGCTTGGGAGGGGCAGGACTTGGGCCACTGCAGTGCTGTAGAACTTGATCCCGGGTTTATTTTTGGAGTGAATTCCGGGATCTACACTGTACTGCCCTGGCCTGCTGCAACCTGAACCCCCGGCCTGCCTCACGTGGTTTATAGGAAATCTGTGTGGTAATCAAGTGGTTAATATAAATCTAATCATAGGTCAGATGGCATGGATGTGTTTCTACACCAGATTCTTCTATTGGAAGCAGCAGACCTTTACTGGGGGAAAGGAAGTGCTTGCCACTGTTAGTGCCTGAGCTGGAAAATTCTTTGATCGAGGTATGCTTAGGGAAATATTTGCTTTCATTTCCCAGTATCTTAGCAGCCTTCCCAGTAGCCTGTGGCTGTTGCCACCAGACCACACTCAGCAGCACTTGTCAGAGTGACTTGGCTTCTGACTGGTCTCTAGATAAGGGGTCCAGACCAGAGTGCAGGAAGCACCAGGATGCTGTCCTGAGTCCACAGTGACGCCCGTCGGCCTGGGCACCGTCTCCCGATAGCAGGCTGGCCATTCGCCGGGTGCTGCATGGCGGTAGGTCTCCTCCCGAGGAGGTCGGTCTCTGCACCTTGGCTGTAAGGGAGGGGGCCCCGTGTGTGTGTTGAGGGGTGCATCGGTGAAGCCTGGCCACGGGCTCCCTCTCTTGGGGTGGGCAGTGTCCTTCTGCGCCCTGCTTAATTACCAGCAGAAAGGTACCTGTTATCCTGGGCGACAGACAGGGGCATGGATTCCTGCAGACCCCCACTGCCCCTGGGAAGCAGGCAAAGCTGGCGGTCTCTCAGTAGTGAGGCCCTGCTCTCAGGCCGTTTCCCACCGCGAGTAAAATACTTATACACTGTTCTTCCCGGCCCTGCAAGCTGGTCGCTGTGGGCAGACACTTGATGTCTTTTGTGCCCTTGACTTTGGATTTCAAACAAGCTGATCGCAATTTCATCCTTCTGTGGGGACTTAATTAACCCACTGTTTTTGTCATTTCAATTACAGTAGCCCAATTTAACCGGCCTCCCTCCCCCCCCCGTCTCCCCGCCCCCCAAATAGTTTGAAATTACTCTCCTCAAAAGTTCTGTGCGAGTCACGCCTCAGCCTTGCGGGCAGTGCTGGCTGGCGCTGCTTCTGAGCTGCAGGGAAGCCACGTCGGGGTTCCTGCTGCTCCTCCTTTGAAGGCCCCGCTCCCGGCCCCCTGCAGTGTTGTCCCCCATCTTTAAACTCCTCAGCCTGCACCCCACCCCGCTGCTAAAGGGGCCTCAGTGGAGAGAGGTCTGAGCTCTGTTAGTTGGGGTTTGATTTCAGTACAGGAGTTGATAAAATGAGATAAACCCCAGGCTCACGGGGCCGGGGAAATTAAACAGAGATGATATCAAAGTTCCCCTGAGTTTTCAACTGTGATACAGTAGCTTAGTTTTCTCCCAGACTGGGGCCGGGAGGCACGCCTTTGATTCTGAAACAATGTTCAGCATCAGTTAAGCCCAGCACTGCTGACTTTTAGGGATTAAGCAAACTGTTGTAGTGATTCTTTGATCAGCTACAAGGGAGCAGTGTGCTGTCTGTATGAAGGGGCTTTATAGTTAAAGTTCATTTCTCTGTGAACCTGGATGACAGCATTGGCGAGGTGCTGCGGTGCTGGGAGCCGGGGCCTCCCCCAGGCACTGTTTGCAGCATTGCAGGCAGAAGCGGTTCTCTTCTTCCGCCCTGTGTTGTCGCATCGTATCCATCCGGCATGGCATGGAAAGGATCCTCTGGCTTGGAAAACACATCTCACCCTAACGGGATCCCAGCTGGTCCTAGTATGTATATGCAAGGCATGTGTGTGCGTGCACACACACACACACACACATGCACACTCGCACTCCCACCTTGCAGAATACAGGAACAGCTGCCCAGAGCCCAGCTCTGCAGCCCCCCAGAATTGCAAATGCTCTAGCCGAGGCTGCCTGGGCGCTGAAGGTGGAGATGGAATGGGGATTGGGACCAGATGGCCCAGGAGGTTCAATGAGGAGGATAAGCTCAAGGTCAGTGTTGCCACCGCACTCTCTCCATGCCCAAGAGCAGACCCAGCTCCCAGGTGCTGCCACCACCATCATCCTTACCTGGCATTTACTGAGAAACGACTTAGTTTCATGTCGGCTCCGTCCCGTGATTCTCAGTAATTTCAACATCTGCTGCCATCTGAAGTACTGGGTCCACTTTGGCTTTCGCTGTAGAGACCTCCTTGCAGCCACAGCCAGGACGGTAGAAGTTTCTCAGATTGCTCCCTCCCCCCGGTTGGTCTGCGACTTGCAGCTGTAATGGAGCCCGTGTGTTGTCGATCGCTCGCACCGCACCATGCATCAGCCTAGTCCCCCTGTGCAGCGCTCGGATCTCCCTCATTAGGCCTAAATTTACCTCCGTCCTACACAAACGTGGCCTTAGCTCATTTTTATTGTTGTAAATTATTTATGAGGGAGATGCTGAATCTTGAAACGAGGTCCGAGGGAAATGAATCCCACGTCACTTTTATCTTGCTGTACTTCTCTCCCCCTGCTCGACTTACTGGGCTATGGCCAGAGGAAGAAGAGCTTTCGGTTTTTACTCTAATGTGTAGAAACTGGTTTTCCAGTCGGATATGGGATGGGGTGGCGGTGTCCCTCTGCACGGTGTCATGGGAAGCAGACGTGGCTGGGGAAGGAGGGCAGAGGTCCTGTTAGGCTCTGCCTCTGCCAGCTGCATGGTGTCTGAGAACACCTGGCCTCAGCTTGCTCTCCTGTACCATAGGGACAGTGCAACCCAGCCACACCCCAGGTTTGGTGTGGGCATTGGTGGAGAAGCAGCCTGAGAAAGCTTCGTGAGGATCACAGGGCTCTGTACACGCACGCAGCAGGGGTGTGTGTGCAGCAGGGGTGCGTGTGTGCAGCAGGGGTGCGTGTGTGCAGCAGGGGTGCGTGTGCAGCAGGGGTGCGTGTGTGCAGCAGGGGTGCGTGTGCAGCAGGGGTGCGTGTGTGCAGCAGGGGTGCGTGTGCAGCAGGGGTGTGTGTGTG